TTGTCAAAGTCAATGGTGTTAAATCAAAACTGTTCATCGAAAAATTGTCAAAAAGAGCTTGTCCAAGATCTCATCTATATATATGATCACACAAATTCATTTAAATCAGATGAAAGATGAAAACTTCTTTTGCGCTCGGAACAAAGTTTGTGATAGTGACGTCATCAAACACTAAGTTTCAGTGGGATTACAGGAACAGACGTCTGATTGAAAATTGGAATGACTGTAGATCATTTAAACACATGACATATTCCTTAATTGTCTGTTTAAATCTAGTCGTTTAAAAGTCGTAATTTAGATCAAAATATCAAATATACTTCATTAGAAAAAAGACATCATGCATAATACAGATAAATAGAATATGTTGCTCTATGTATATTAGGTAACGTGACCATTTTTAAATGGCTATACCTTAGCGACTTATTATCGTACAACAAATATGAAGATAAAATTAGGTAGATCTTGTCGTGGGATATCACTTTTATTTAGGTCACAAGATCAACAAAAGTCAAGGTCACAAAATACAAGCCACGAAAGTTTGGTAATTTTCAAAAAAATAAATCTGGTATTAAAAAAAACAATGGAATCGAAATTTAAAAACCAGGTAAATACAACTTCTTGACAATCGATTGTACTTTCCATTGACACCAAAATCAATCAAATTAGGTAATCTGTTAATTATTTATTTTGATTGAAGAAATGAGCCCGCTACAATAATATTCTTTAATCTAAAGATGTTAAGCTCTCCAGATTGTTTCATAAAGTTTATTGATTTGAATTCCACTATATAATGTATTATAACATGTATCGAGGAAGGTGATATAAACTCTTCACTTAGCGATTTGATGTGTCAAAGCTATTATTGTTTATTTGTAATTCAAGTATTTAAAATTATCTTACCTGTGCGTTTACATATTGGGTTTTGATATTTCCATTCTTCCTCAACACATTCCAGCCCTTGTACCATCTTGAAACCTTCATTACATGTAATGACTACATTTCCATTGCAATCCTTATCAAAATTGGCGTCTGTTATATTAGGATACGTTATACAACCTGTAAATTTAATTATTTGTTGCCATTATTTACTTCTGACTCGATACACTACCCC